TGGTATAATAATTTTAGATGAGATGAAAATGTGTTAATGACACAATAAGCAACCAGAGACCAAAAGTAACAGACATAGGTATAATATGTCAAATCAACAATTTGTCCATGTGAGCTAAATAGAAGGAGCAAAGATTTCAGCATACTATGATCAGAGAACTGTGAGTTTAAACCAAAGAAAAAATTGGATTGAAATAATATCAAAGTTGAAATATCTATTGTTTATCTTAATTTTCAAAACATATCATGTATTTTACTGGGTCACGGTAAGTGTTATGCAACTGTGTAATTAGAAATTGGTACATGTGCAACATTTTATCTTAACAAATTTTAAATTGCAAAAGAGGAAACAGCTTCTCATTTTAATGATAAATTTTATGTGTTTTAAACTGCAGCATAATTCAAAATTATTAACAGAATAATATCTTTTCTTATCAACAATCCTTTGATGAACTTATTATAAGAAAATTCTGATTGACAGAATAAAACGTGACTTTTGGTTGATCCCATATAAACAAGGGTGTTACTGTTTGATTTTTTTTTTTTTAAATACCTTTTAACAGAAAGTTCTCTAGGCAATATTCTTTTGATATAAGGGCAACCAAAAGTTTGGGTTTTGCATCATAGCTATAGAATACTGTAAACAAACTATGTTGGCAAGCAATTTATTTCAAAACTTTTGCCAGTATGGTAGAAAAACATTGAAAATATGTCAAAAACATGCACATATCTTCTAATAAAACATCAACCAAGTTAAAATATTACAATGTCAGCAAAACTTAAAAAAAAGTATGCAAAATAAAATGGTTAATAATACTTCCTCTTTTAATAAAAGAAAGAGGGTCACTCAGGGCTTTGGAATTCCCATTTCCTGTTTCCCCGGGGAAAGTAAAAAAATCGTCGGGTAAACGAAAACGCAGGTACCAGTTTCCCGTCGGGTAAGTAAATCGTCTTTACGTGGTCCTTTTCCGGTACGTCGTATTCTTGTTTTACAAAGTAGGTTATTGGACAAAATCTAGTTTAGAATCTGGTTCCCTGAAGTAATCACTTGTTTCCTTGCGTTTACAGCGGTAGTAAGTTATTATCAGTAAGCAGTAATGGAGGTCATGAAGTCACATGTTGACTTTCTATATTAAAATTGATCTCTTTTTTCAGACTTTAAAAAAAAATAAGAACGGGAAAGTGAAAACTGATGCGGGAAAGTAAAATTGTAAGATAACTTTCCCATGGGTATTAATGCATTTTCAAAAAAATTCCGAGGCCCTGGTCACTAGTGTTCACTAGTGTTTTGGTTTTATTCTATGGGTGCAGAAACCAGTACCAATAAATTTAAATAAAACTAAGGAGATGTGGCATGATAGCCAATAGACAAATATTCACCAAAGTTCAAATGAAGTGGATGTAAGCAAATATAGGCAACCATACAACCTTCAACAATGACAAAAACCTGTACCGTAAACTTATACATACTTAATATTATATTTGTTTGAAAAAAAATTGCACATCTAGATATTGCTTTGTCACACTTATACACAATTTTAAAATTTGAAGGCAGAAATTTCATTGCCTTGCCTATAAAATAATTACCAGAATAGAATGTAGAGACACAGTAAGTGACCTGTACTATGATATTCCAATTCTTTGGTCCTTTTAAGAAAGATAACAATAAGGAATTATACAATTTCTCCTCTTATGAAAGTTAGTAAAAGTTCTCATTTTTTAGCAAGGATTTTTTCAGTCCATAATTTATATATAAAAAAACAAATTCAGTGTACACCTACCTAATTGACTCATTGGCAGTTAAAAAACATTTATCATAAATGAATATTTTATCCTAGAGGTTAAAATTTAACCCTTTATGAACTTATAAAGGTATTCATAAGACTGAAAATTTGTTAATTTTCATCATAAAAAAAATGAATGCATGCATTTGTCAAACAACCTAACAATAATGTTGTCAGATAAATCATTTTTCAGTCACAACAGTAAACTTTTAACACAGAAACTTTATATGCCTGCAAGGTTTTTCTTTGTCAAATGAAAACTCATTGATGTTTTTGTCAAGATAAACTATGCAATATTGTAGGAAATATTTAAATTCAATGAAGAAAAAGTTAACACTTTCTCAATTACATTATGTTAAATGCAAAATATTCGTCAGAGTCAGGTTTTCCATAATAAAGTTTTGTTAGATGGAAAATTTACACCTTTTAATAAACATTTTACAATGTAATAAACGGTTTACATTCAAAACATGAAACCCATTGAATTAAAAAAAGAAATTATCTCCCTTTTTATACCCTCTTATATTTCAATATTTTTCCATAAAAGTACAACTAAACAACACACAAATCTTCAAAAGTTTAAATAATTTGTTTATGCCTTGAAATAACTTGTCTAAATAAGTTTCAATATTTAAAGGTTAAAGGCTATGATCATTTGAACTTCAAGAAACAGTTTAAGATATATTTAAATACATTTATATGGTAGGATATATCATACATGTAACAGTTTATTTTATAAATATGTTAGAAAACGACATGAGTACACCTTTTTAAACATCTTACTTTGCTACTATACTGATAATTACAATAACTTTTCTCAATAAGATAATGCTAAGTGTCCAGCTTGAAAAGATATAAACTTATTGTAATATTTTTTAAAAATCAGTTCCACTCGCTGAAAAATGCAAATACTGTGGCTTCATTAATATTCGTGGGATACCAATTTTCATGTATTTTTTGGATATAGGTTAACCCCGGATATAAACGTTCAACAAAGTAGAAATCGTCTTAAAGCTTGTATGCAGACTTTTGAAATCAAGTATCCACAAAAATATAATTTTCACTCAATCCACGAAATTGGTACCCTCGAAAATAAATGAATCCACAGTAACAGATTTAAGGACAAATAAAGCAACTCCAAAAATAAGGAACACTTGATTCTTTGGATCAATGGATTTGATGCATATGACCATCAAGCTTCTTCCACCAAATTTGAGATGGATGACGATATAAAATATTTTTGTAAACTTTTCAATAAGTTATTTATTAAATGAAATTAAAAATATTTTTTTTTGCACAAAAATCTAAGTTGACATTACAGAACATTTAATATAAAAAAATTAGTCACGACAAAATATTCAGTGCAACAGTAAATTATAGTACTTCATGGAAAACACAACAATTACAGTCAGCACCGTCTTTTTACATTGCTATTCTTCTGTTATGGAGGCATAATCTTCCAGCAGGGCCAGCATTACCATGAAGGCGCATCTTTCCTCTTTATGATCCATTTTATTGTTGTCTTTTGTCTTATCTTTTATCATTTGGTCCTAAAACACCTCTCTCTTACCTTAGGAATTCAGGACAAAACAATCTTTCATCCTTTTCTCTATCCTTCTTTAGACAGTTGACAACATGTTTTTCTCTTGCTATGATCACAATTTTGTTTGGTAGAGAAATTTTTCAAAATGAAGTTCAAACTTAAACAGATGAAAACTTAAAAGTGAGGAACTTCTTCTGTCAAGGGCAATCACTCTTCAGAAGGAAACATTTGAGTGTCAAGTTGGCATGGATAGTTGCCTCATTGGCAATCATACAACATCTCCTTATTCTATAATGATGCTTTTTGGCATTTATACTACAGAATGAAGTAGAAAGAATAATTGGTGATCGTTAAATAAAAATATAAAGAATCAAGCAATAACTCTGTTAGCAAGTCTAAAGTTCTATCTACATTTAAGACTAGAATCAACTACCAGATGAAGAACAACAATAACAGCACTGTTTCTGTATATATTGATTATTTCCCAGAATTTCATGAAAACTTTATTTCAAGTGCATCCATATAACATTACAATATCACATGTATCAATTTTATAAATTCATAAGAAAAATTAAATAAAATGTACTTTATTTTTTGTTGTTGAGTTGCTGTCTTATTGATGTAAAGCACATTGTATCCTTAAAAACCTATTATTCACATTTATACAAAAATTCTAAATTTTCTTACATATTCAGGAAAAATGCTCCAATGAAATTAAAGCAATTAATTGTTTAGAGTAATTTTGATTTAAGAAAGGGGTTAAGTAAAAGGTCGAAGGAAATTAGATATTATGACAAGAATTTCCTTAACTTATTTCCTTCAGCTTTTCCTATTGATACAGTTTTTTTTCTTCTTCAAAATGGTAAAAATGAAAATTGATGACAAGCAACTTAAATTTTAATTACTTTACTTATAGTACATACTATTAACATTAAAAACATGATTGTTTAACAAGTTTATAAACCACAAAGTACAAATATTGGGTAACAGAAAAAGTCCCGTAAATTACTTTAATAAAAAGAACAATTTATCTAACTAATCATGTGCTTCTGCATCAATAGTTTTTATCTACTTATAAAATTTCCCTAAACTGTACAAGTAGTACTTGATAAGAGTTCAAATCAAACAGGATACTTTAAATAAAATAAAAAGAAGCAAAATACAAAGTATGGTCATACAAATAGGAAGAGAAATGAAAAAAACTTTTTTTTAAATAAAAACACCCCTTTTGTTATTATAACTCAATATTGTGTATAATCATCTGAAAACAAACTGTAGAAGCTAATTGATAAACATGTTTATTTATTTACCAAAAATAAATACACATATTATCCCTGCTTCTTTATTTACACATAGATTTATACTGATTGTATGTGCATGAGGTACATGTATTATCAAATCAAATCAAACAAGCTATATAACAATACTGACACCTTAGTAATAAAACAATTTAACAAGTACTAAGTTATGTTTAAACACCTTTCAGCCTTGTCACCTGTGTTTTTATACACATATCATATGATTGACTTGAATAATCCATTATTTATTGCTAATAATACTAACTACCCTTCAACACTTTCATTATTTAATTAGACAACCATGATTAAGTAATGTGCCAATTGGCTAATTATCTAATAACGAGAAACAAACGATTTGACAAAGAGTTATAAATACCTGATTATTTGACCGCTGTTTAGTGGCTGATACCTTGATAAGTCACCTGTGATTGCTATCCATTTCAGTCAAGTGTAACAATAGCCCATCAAACGCTGCACACTTCTTCAACTATCACTTTCCACGATTTAAAAGTCTGTTGAGAAATAGGAAATCGTAAAGTTTTTTAAATACTCGATACCACAGAACAATAATCATACAACTACTACATTAAAATAATGATGATAGCGATGCACATCAATTGGTGATAACTTTATCAATGCCTTTAGCCATATATTCTCAGTCTTTTTCTCTTGTGACCGTCTCAATAATACTAGTTTCCATCGCTTAGATTATCTTGCCTAAAAATCAATACAAGCCTTTTCAAATAGCATAATTTTCATTGAATGACAATACTATAATGAAGAAGATGACGTGCTTTGCGGACCTCTCTCGCTATCTGCTACGAGTCCTATACTGTCGTGTTAACATCATGTCAAATGCGATTTATTACACCCTATTGGGGCAAAGTATTCATGAGCAAAAGTTTTTTCACTCATAACATGATACTGTTGCATTGATTATACATTGAGATACAGACTTAATATTTATTTACACAAGATAATCGGGGAACAAGTTGGAGTTTACCTATACGTCTTAATATTTACACCTGTATTCTACTAACTGCTTTTATAAATATTTAATTGGACACCTTTACTACATAGTCATTTTAAATCGAATGATTAAATATATTATAAATTACAATCACTAAATAAATAAAAAAATCACTGGTTATTTAATAATAGGACAATATTCTATGTTATTATCCATAAACTGTATAAATCATTTATTATTGATCTAAGGGAGGCAATTCTAATTTTTGGCAAATTTGTTTATATTACTGAATAAATACTTTCCATTCATTACTTGAAATTTAGATTTATTCAAAAACTCAAATGGTGGAATAAGAAAGAGGGGCAGCCAAATTCTTTTAATGGATGCAAAAAAAAAAACAAACAAAAAATTTTTTTTTCTTTTCCTTTTGAAGTTTTCAATCATTCAAAAATTGATAATTTTGAGACTCCCAAACCCCTTTTGATAATCTTGGACCATCTTGTGTGCCTCTTTTCAGTTTTTCTTATATTAATTGAACATTTACAATGTTGTTTTATATAAATATATGGTCAAGACTTTAAGATTTTAAAAGTCAGCAAAACCAAAAATAACTAATTATATAACCAAGTAGTTGTATCTGAAATTACTGGTACACCAGTATTTTGTATTATATTGTTAAGAAATTGCTTGGATAAAGTTATAATTCCCTATAGATGAGAATAGTGTGTTTGGGTTAGAGAGAAATGTCTTACTGATATCTTGTGTTCCTTGTTCAGATCTGATAAGTCCTTTTCAACTGATTTTTACAATTTGTTCTTAAGTTGTGCCATTTTACAACACTATCCCAGGTATAAGGGATGGTTGGGCTCTCGCACAGATTCATCACATTCTTTATGCGGCTCTGACAATAGTCAGAAACCTGTTATTCAGAGATTGATGTTGGTTGCTGTTTGCCTTATGTTTTTTTTTAAGTGTCTTTAGCAAAAATCAGGCTGTTTGTTTTTCTATTTTGAATTGCTTCCCATTTTATCAAACCGTTCATAGCTTACTATACTGTATGGGTTTTGCTAATTTTTGAAGGCCATACAATGACCTACAGTTGTTTACATCCTCATCCTAAAGGTCTCTGGTGAATAGTTCTCTCATTTGCAATTATACCACATCTCCTTATTTTCACATACAGTAAACAGATTCAGAGTGCATAGGTCTATAGGTCTATTATAAAATTAAGTACATCCAAATGAAATTAAAAAGTTATCATCCTCATTATGTATGTTATTTATCCCCCTGGAGATTAAGGATCCATTCATCAATTAATCAATCAGATATAAGTTATTTTAAAGAAAACCTAAACATATTTAAGCCCTTTTAATAATTATGAAAAGACAAACAAACTCATTTTAAAAATTTTTGTTTGGTTGGCAAATATTCATTTTAACAGCGCTGCCACTTAAAATGCTTACTACAAATCTCGTAGCTTACAGCTGAGTTATTAATCTTTGATTATCTATGCATATGTTGCACATATTAACGATATAACATAATTTTACTACTGTATAATATGTTACATAAGGAGATAAGTCTTAGTCTTAAGAGGACTGTAGGATTATATAATACATATTTCACTAGGGAGCTTTTAACGCTGAAAGGTTATAAAAATAATGTAATTTTGGTAGCCAGGAGTAATAGTTTTACAGATATCCTCAGTACTTAAGTTCAATATTGTGTTCCTTTCGACTTCTTCATTTAATTATCTTTTCGTCTATATGTTTTAACATTATTTTATCGAAATCGTTCTTTTCCTCAAGTTAGTCATTGCACTTCCTTTTATAAAGTTGCCTGTCATATCCTTAAAGTACATAGATTAAATTATTCTTCGTTTAGGCTTCTGCTTTTAACAAATGAGACTAATTTCAAGGTAACTTTCATAATGTTGAGTTGTTTGTAATAATTTATCTCCTATAAGCCTTATAATGTTGAGTTTGTTGTAATCATTTGTCTCCCTTACATATAACTACAGGTCCTTAGTCCCAATTTGTTTCATTTACGTTCTAAATAAATCATAAGCTATGTACATGTGTGAAACAACCTCCTGACATGATATACTGATACTGTATCATACAAAGGGATAAAAGTAATATGCTTGAAAGAGCAAACAAACAGACAATATATTACTCTTTATAGATATCAATTATTCACTATATCAATAATTAAATTTTATTGATTACACAGCCATTTAAGGAGTGCCTTAATCCTGATATTCAGATCTGTGTTTTATGCATAATTTACAGTTTTTGCTGTAAATAGTTATTTTTTTCCACCACAAATATTCATTTAAGTGTGATGGGTATTTTGTACACACTTATCACCTTTTACAAGGAAATTATGTTCACATGGGTCACTTGTAGAAAAAAATCTTGGATTTGTGATAAGCTTTCATGATTAAACTTTTGAATTATCTTGAAGAACCGAGGTTCTGACCACCAAACTTTGGAAAGGACCAACACAATTTTGGTATTTTGCAATAGAAATAATAGTGAGGACCAGCAAATTTTCTTCAAGGACCTCCTGAGAAAAAAGTATTTGGAGAAATCTGAATTTAAGCTTTTTTTTCAATACTTAAATGAAAATATCATAAGTCTTTGAAAAATCACCAATGACTGATTGATTTCCAGATTGATTGATTATTTATTTCTTAATATCACTCTAACACAAATATCTATATACCAGCAATCACTATCGAAGAAGCAATGTTTTTTTTAAATTATTAATGAAACAAAAGTTTTGTAAATACATTTCTACACAAAAGTAAAGTTTTCAAAAATAATAAGGTAAGCTAACTATCATGTGGAATATACTTGAAATATTTGCCACTGGACATTAAGTAAGCAACACATCAATTAAAGTTTGTTTATTCTTAATTTATGTGAGATTATTCCACAACCATTCCTAAACTATACAATTCATGCTACAGAATGTGTGATATTTTCTACTATATCTTGATTACAGCATTTCAATTACATTTACTACAGGCACCTTGTAAAACCCAGCTACGATCAGCTTGTTATCTAACATTTCACTACACTATCGTGGCAATAAAAATATTGCAGAACAAAATATATAAACAGTAAGAAAAAACATAAGCAACAAGAAGCAATTTATTTTGGTAACAATTGACGTAGAATTGATCTTAGCCAATTTTACCAGTTAACCACCCAGGAAACGGCAGCTATTATTAGGCTAAATTGTTAATAGCTGTTTAACAGTAGAGCAATTGCGTATTTATGAAGATAACCCTCAATCTTCAGATGTTGTACATAAAAACTCATGGTTTCATCAATCGGTAATTGTTAACAACACATTTTAAGGGTGCGTCAATTGATACAAGTTGTCTTGGTTCAATAAGTTTAGAACAAAATGATCTTTAATTTTTTCAGTCTAATGTTTCATAAAATTCTGCTTATAAAAATTAATCTTACTTGTTTATGTGAAAACATTTAAAGAAAGTTTTCCATTGAACATTTTTGTGGTTGCTTTTAACTGGGACAGGTTATATTCAAACAATAAAAACCTCAAATTACAAATGTTAGGTATAGATGATTTAGTATAAACTTGCACCTATTTACTTAACTTAGCCTGCAATGTTTCAGGTTACATCTTTATTACATCCTACTTTTAATAAACTTTTGATATTTTTTTCATGTGGAAGTATAAAATAAAGGAGGTAAACCTCAATGTGACAGCAACCAAATAACACAAAAAAAAACATAAGATATATAGAGAACAAGAAACAGCCTTCAAACATAGACAGGTGCCTATACATTATGTCAATCTCTTAAACAACCTGAGTCTAGACTATAAAAAATCATCTCAATCAACCAGAGTCTAGACTATAAAAAATCATCTCAATCAACCGTAGTTTAGACTATAAAAAATCATGAGTTTAGACTGTAAAAAATCATGTAAATCAACCTGAGTTTAGACCATAAAAAATCATGTAAATCAACCGGAGTCTAGCCTATCAAATATCTATTCCTAAGGTGTATTGGCTGCAATGTTTTTAACAATTGTTCTTTAAATGCATGATACCAGTATCCATCAAAAATCATAAAATATTTCTTTTTCTAAAAGGAATCTTGTATCAATGTGTGAAAATTCACAAAACAGTGACCTTATTTTGATGACTGTTCTGCTTCTATACAACCTTCAATGATTGAAGGCCATTTTATACCTTTTATTCGCACATTTAATAAGGTTCTTTAGGCCACAAGATATTATGTGAAATATGGATACAAAACTGTTAGATTCTGTGGAAGTTTCATTGAATTTTTCTATGGGGATCTCCTGAAAAGGGATGCTAATCTTATAAAGTCAGTGAAGGATGAAAATTTATAATGGTGCCATGCTGTGCTATTTTTGCTTTCATAATGACCTAATCACTAATAAGCATCAAGCTAATTTGTATTATTCAAATGATATTGCTTATTCTGGAATATAGACCTTAACCTTGGGCATAGTGACCTCAAAACCATATGGATCTTA